TCTTGCGACCCGTGTGCGGAGGCACCGGGAGTGCTGCGTGGGCATCGGCGGCAGTGTGCCGAGGTACCGGGAGTGCTGCGCGGGCACCGACAGCGGTGTGCCGAGGTACTGGGAGTGCTGCGTGGGCACCGATGGCGGTGTGCCGAGGCACCGGGAGTGCTGCACGGGCACCAACAGCGGTGTGCCGAGGCACCGGGACCATGGGATGGACACCAATGGTGGCATGTGGAGGTACTAAAAGCATGGCACAGGTATTGATGGTGGCATGCAGACGTACTGGGAGCATGGCATAGACACCGACGGCAGCGTGCCGAGGTACCGGGAGCCAGCCAGGACCACAAAGCACGCCAGTCCTGCCCACCCCACAGCTTTTGCTTCTAATCGTCACGTCAGACGTGCGGCTGCGAGCCGGAGGTTTGTGGTCGGCGCGGGGTCACGCCATGGGGCGAGGAGAGAGGCGGGCAGGAAGGGGGAGGCTGTCTGACGAGCCTTCCCCCGTGTCTGCCGCGTGCTCCGGCTCTCCCCTTTTAAGGGCCCGTCTTGCCGCAGCCCCAGCACCCCGCCGCCCCGTGCCGTGAGGAAGAGCCGGTGCTGTGTAGGTTCTTCGTGTCGCCCCGAGCCGCAGCACGAGGACTTTGCCACAGGCTGCCAGTGCCATCGCCGCACGCGGGGCATTCCCGGTGGCTCCAAGAGCCTCCAAGGGGACATGGTCTCTGCCACCCTCCATCCCTCTGTGTGCTCCCCCAAAAAGGAGCCCGAGCCCCAGGACAAGCCTTGCTCCCGCGGGCAGAGCAAGACCCCGGGGAGCCTCGCTCCATGTGCCAGCGGAGAAGCAGCAGGAGAAAGGACGAGCTCCACGGCTGCAGGGGGGATCTCCTGCCTCGGCGCCGGCTCCGGCCAGGCAGCACGAAGGTACGGGGCTGGAGACGCAGGGGAGGGAGACGTGTGAGGCTTTACGCTGGCTGGAAGGTATTTTTGGGGGGGCAGGGGGAGGAAGGGAGGCCAGGCATGCCCGGGCAGCTCGGAGAAGCCGTGCAAGGAGGGAGCTGGTTTCTCCTGGCTGAACTCCTGCCTGCACAAAGCCTGTTTCGCAAGCAGGACTGCCCAGGGGGGAGCGGGTTGTGCAAGAGAGAACTTCAAGGGTCCCCAAGGGATGTTACCGGTGTCCCCAACTGCGCCAGATCCCCCCCACCAGGCAGCCCTGGGGAGGGTCTCCTGGGGGGGACAGCCCATGCGGACACCTCGGGGACCTGCCGCAGGCAGCACCGTGGCACTCACGGGGGTCG